AGATTTCCAAGGGAATCGAATTCCAATTGTCCATGAAGGAAGCATGGATTGAAGAACAGCATGCAACTTCTTCAAGGCATCAGAGGCAGTGTGTGCAGCTACATGCTTGCCTTCTCTGGTAAAGGTGTGTGAATTTAGGACCATATTTCTTGGTGAGAGAGGGAAAATCCCTATGGCTCCATATGACCCAGTTGCCAGTGGAGAGGGGTAATGGTGTGTGTGTGTCATGTTCTAACTCTACCTCAGCCAAAAATCAGCACATTCTGCCCCATTGTGGAGCTGCTGAGTAAAATTCTGCCCACAGAAGTGCCTGGAAAGGGGAGGAGGATCTTGCTGATCTGCCGTTTCCCTGAATTTTTACTGTCAATGTGCTTGTTATGACTTACTTCCCTAGCAACCCCAAGCCTGTTCATGTGGAAGCAGCCTGTGCAAGCAGAGCAGCTCCATAACACAAGCTCAAGAAGGTGGATTTGGAGTAAAAATCCACACTGCAACAGAGAGTTGAACATGCAACTGACTGAAGGTGCAGACTGAAATGGGGCACAACCTGCATGTGTCTGACAGGAAAATCCCCCAGACCAAATCCCTGGGCATGACACCTCTCCCCAGCCAAACCAGTTTCAAACCAGGGGAGCAGCTGGTTTTGGTCCTTCCATACCTGCTGCCTTGCTGGATCAGCCAGCAGCAGGCAATCCTTTCGGGAACCCTCCTGTCTCCCTCCTTGCTGCTTTGGGAATAAGTGAGAAACTGGCCCTGTGGAAGGAGGTTGTAGGTCAGAGAGGGAAAGAACCTGAAAAGCATTAAATTTTCATTAATAAAAAAAGGGTACATTTATTTCTTGCCTCCCTTTCCGGTGCTGGGGGAGGATCAGTTGTATCCAGGCAGATGTCTGACCCTGGAGATGCTCCTCTGTGGGCTGAGCTGAGGAGTCATTCACAGGCTGCTTGAAGGACCTGGGGGATCTCCCTCGTGGTGTCTTTCTTTCAAACAGAAGCTATTCAAATGAAAAGAGAGAGTAGGCAGGCAAATAAAGAAGGCACTAACTAATTAACTGAGAGTTTTAGGTATGTTTTGGGGCAGTAAGAGCTGCCAGACTCCTCCCTGAGATTGCTCAGCCCCCAAGGAGTGCAGCCAGTGATGGGGCGTGCTGCATCCCATGGGCAGGAATGAGCCATGGGGTGGCTGTGCCAGGGCAAGAGGAATGGCCAGCCAGGGCTGCTGCAGCCAGGACCAGGCTTTGGAGGAGGATGTGTGCCCCTGCTGCTGATCCAACAGCGGCATTCTTTCCACACAAAAACTTTATCAGTCATTTTCTTGTTGTTTTACTAATTATTGCTGGTTTTGCTAATAATGTTCCATTTAATCTCTCGCAGCCATCCGTTCTCTACAAAGGCATGAAGTGTAACTCATGAAGACTGCTGACAACCTATGGAAATCCAGCCATCAGTTTAAGGCCAATAACAGCCCAGAGTGATGCTTTACATGCCGGTCCCAAGGGTGCCTGTCTGCATGAATCATGCTGAGCAAAGCTGCTGACGCTGCAAAGGCTGCTGCGCTCAGCCTGCCAAGCAAGGCAGTGGGCTCAGAGAGGTGGAGGCATTCCCAGAGGCATTTCTTGAAATGCAATTAGGTCTGGCTGGGGAAGGAGGCATTTGCTGGTGCGAGAGAAGAGGCAGGTGGATGGGAAGCAGCGAGGCTGGCCAGTTCTGGCAGCTGAGGCTGAGCTGGTGAGCCATGGGAGATCCAAGAAGATGGTCTGCCAGGGAGCAGTGGCTCCGTGCTCCCAGTACCCTGTAACCACCACTCAAACACGAGAAGAATGGTCCCCAAGTCCTTGGACTTCAACTGCTTGCTTTTTTAAGCAAAAAAAAGAGTGAAAGCTCACAAAGAGTTGAAACTCCCTGGAGCAACCAAAGTGCCTTTTGATCCAACTACAAGTGCTTAGAAGAAGAAAAGAGGCACATGTGTTGCTTTTAAAGGTATCACACATCCACCCACCTGTTGGGAACAGTTAAAAAATACAACTGGGTTGGCTACAGTCTGAAGGGAGAGCTGTGAAAGGAATAGCAAGCAAAGTAATTTCTACAGGCAACGCTTAAAGCAGCAGCCAATGGAGAAGCAGCTGCCATGCATACTCTGGTTCTTTAGTGCCTGTTCTGAGGAGACAGCCTGACCCTCTCAGCACAGCAGAGTTGCTTAATTACCTACTCTGACAAGACTTGAAAGATAAAAATTAGGTACAATTTCTATATTACAGCAATGGCAATAATGTTTGTGTCCTAATTGCCTCTCAAGTGAAATAAAACAACATCATGCAATGCCATGAGGAATTTTTGTCATAAGCATTACTTACATGTAAAAGGACTCCACTAACTGCCTCCCCTGTGAAAAACAGAACATTAAATATCATGGCTTGGATGGTCCTGATGTACCTACAAGTGTGATATCAAATGAGATGGCACCACTGACTGTGTGTGTCAGAAGCATACATGAAAACCACCTCAGCATGTTCAATCATGTGCATGAACATCATTTCCCCCATGGAGTCTCTTCACACGGTGTTGGTACGATCAGCCCCCTCGGCTGCACCATGCAGAGTAAGGCAGGGAGTGGAGGGAAGGGGTGACACACAGAACAGGGGTGACACACAGAACACAATCAGAAGGCTTCTTGCTGACGAAAATCTAGCTGTGGGTTGTGTTTTTTTTCCCCCCGCTCTCAGAACAAAATGTGAAGCTACAGATCCTCCAGGAAAACACAATAAAATGTAAAAATATTCTTGGAACAAAAATGTTCCACTTCCAAAATGTCAAAATTATGTTTTGACACTACTGAAAGCTGTAGTTTCAGTTAAATAGAATTTAATGTTAGAAAGTGACATGCTTTTATGAAGAGTTTTGATTTTGACAAAGTGGGATTTTCCAGCATTGAAGCCATCTGATAAAGTCTAACCAGCTCTGATTACTGATACACTACAGCAAGGTGAGGTTTTAAGTGAAGGAATTAAAATCTCATTTTGAAAAATTGAGAGAGGTTAACTAAGTTTGTAATTATGAGGGGAAAAAAAAGATTGAAGACTCTCTGAAGGAGATATTACTAATATAGAAGATTTTTACATGTTTTGGGAATTTAAGAGTGAAAAATGAACTGTACAGATTTGCTGCTGATGGAATGTCACCTCTGCCTCAACCAGACAGCTGACCAAAGAGATTTCCATTCTTTATACCACAGCCACAAAGTGATGTAGATGGGTGCAGTATTACAAGCATTGGCACGTTTAGGGTTCCCTATATTATGTCACTCAATGACATATATGACTTCTCATTTAACACAGTTGTTCAGCTATTCCTATTTAGGGTATTTCAGCATGCAGACAGGATTTGCTGAAAGCTGGTCAGTCCTGTAAAGACCCAATCCTGCAAACTTATGACAAGTTTTTTAAATTAGGAGACCAGTCTCCGAGAGTTTAGTGAAAGTCTTGTAGGATATGTTTTCTCCTATTTTTAAGAGTTTCCAGGAGTGGGCCTTTGAATGGGTATCTTTTTGTAGGAGTTCTAGTCTAGCAACATGCATCAAGTTGAATTTTATTTCATGAGGTATTTTTGGTAACATTCTTTTCTACATAAACAGAGTCAATCTTGCATACTATCAGGACCCTGTTTCTCAGTAAAGTTCAGCTAACAAGCTCTAAAATCACCTGCATGACTTACAAGCACTTGCTGCCTCTCCTTGTCATGCACTAGAGGTTTGGACTGCATGGATGTGTTCCTTCACAGTCATCCTTTGTGGATGAAAGCAAGGACATGCTCATTCCACAGATTCATACACCTTCCTCAGCCTGAGACCTGCTTTGCCCCCTCAGTTACATGGAGTGTCAGTAAGCACCTTTTAGATTTGTGTAAGAGGCAGTAGTGAATTTTTAACTCACTTGAGACAGAAAGTCCAGCACATCTGTCTGTGCCCTGAAAGCCACAGCGAGTCAGGAACCAACCCTACATCATTTGTCCTGGGCCTGTGCGAAGTGCAGGTCCTCGTGAGGAACAATCCCACCCGGCTCCTCGTTCTTTAGAGATGCAAACAAAACCAAATTGAGATTATTTTTTTTCCTGGATGCCGCAGCGTGTGCGCCAGGCTGGGGCGGCTCAGGGAGCGGAGCTGACAGCTGTGCGCGCCAGGCACGGCGGGAGCCATCCACCGCTCCTCGGGGCGACGGGAACACCCTGCCAGGAACGCTCCCTGCAACCGGGCTCTTCTCGAGTGGATTATCCTGCTGGAGCCCGCCATTCCTTGGCGGAATTTGCGGGCGTGTTCGACAGGAGAGCCGTGACGGTCAAAGCTCAGCGGAGCTCCAGCCGCCAGCCTGCTGGGGCTGCTCCCTCTAGCGGGATAAAGAACTTCAGCTGGGGAAAAAACCTTCCCCTCCCTCTTTTTAAAAATTATTTCTTCTTCTCTTTCCCCTCCTCTTTTTTTTGTTCTTGTTTGTTTGGTTTTTCATTTGTTTACGTGAAGAATTCAAGTTTTCCGGATAGTGCAAGACACGGAGCAGTTCCCATCAGACAGAACGCTGCGCTTTTCCAGCCCTGGAGCATGGAGAGCGGGGCTGGAGCCCAGGCAAGGCAGGTCAGCGACTGCTCCTCAAGAGGTGACAAGTGAGGGACTCTTGCTTTGTCTTCTAGCAGTCCTAAGCATATGCTGTAGCTGTGTTTGGTTTTGATCCCACTTCTGGTTACAAAAATAGGACTTACTATAATCATAATAATATTAATGATACAAAATAATTATTGTAATTATATACTTTTTGGCAAATTATTAACACAGAGAGGCCCAAAAAGATCCCGTTGGATTAAAAAAAGGTGACAATGCACAAATGTTAAAAAAGACAAAGTCTTTGATAAAAAAGAAGGAAAAGCAATCTGCAAATGAATGCATTTCTGTAAGGCAACATGTTACCTTTAGTCTTCCATCTAGATTTAGCTCAGATTCTGTTGTTCAAGAAACTATTAGAACTTGGCTTGCTTGAGCTTATCAATGTGGTAACACAGTTTCAGTGCTGGTCCCAATTTCAGCCCCAGGTATTTCATGATCATGTCGCTTTTCAGCAGTAACAAAGCATTGCCATCAATTTCCTGGTTTCAAAAGAGAGGAAGAGAATCAAAATGTGTTAACCCCCCCCTTTAAGTGCTGTGTCCTGACACATTAAACAAGGTGAATTAGAAACTGTGTCATTTAGGGTAGAGCTACCTGAAATGTCATGCATTTTGAAATTTCATTAAAAACCTGAAATCTGAGATGTGATAGAAGGAAGCCATAAAGGAAGGTTTAATTAAATACTATTTTTTATTCTTCAAGGAACTATAAGATAAGTTTAGGTTTTCAATTTATTTTGCAATTAAAAGTAGAATTCTTTAAAAATCAGTGTTGCTCTAAGTGCAATTCTGAGAAAAGCCAGTCGGCCTTGAGAGAAAGGCATGAATGATGGTGACAGCGAAGGATGTAGCCATATTAAACTGCTAATAACTGCTGGATCTCAGTTTCAGTTTTGTTCCCAGCTATCTGTGTGTTTCACCAGTACACTTATACCCAGTGATGCAAGTATATGCTACATGTGCATGTGTATATATATATATGGTTTTTTCTCTGATTCAAGACAGTAGTAACTTGCTTATTTAATTGCATTCATTATTAAATTTGCTAAATTTTAATTTAACCCTCATGTAAGTGGAGGAAATTGCCACCAAGCTCAGCTGTTTATCCCACAGCTGTTGGCTTGAAAATCTTTTGAAATTACAAAGTTCTACTGCAAAAGAAGCCTGAGCCCACAGACAAACAGACTCTCCTTTACTATGGGCTGTAGAACACAGATGCTTTCAGCTGTACCGTTCTTCCTTGGACCCAAAGCCTGTCTGGTTTATCCTGACTATCAGTGGATCTGCCAAAAAATACTACCCATCCCCACATCTTTCAGCACATTCACACACTTGGAGTGTCAGAGCTAAAACATCACAAGTGCTGTGTGTGTGTGTACACACACACAGATACACACACCCCAAAGCTGTCTGCACTGTGTTCTGTGGTTTTGATGGTCAGATCTTTCCACTGTGATCCATTGCCTACTTATTAAGCAACGCTATGGATCCTAATTTGCCCTGATCATTATTATTCCATTCACCAGGTGATTTATCTGATGAGCAGTTAAGGTCACTTTCTGATTAACTCAATCAATTAATGCTCCTCATTTTGCAACCCCCACTCTACCCATAATAGAAACTCTCTCCACCTCCCTGCTCTTCTTGCCATTATTTTAAGGAAGCTAATGTAAAGTAAGAATAAGTGGTACATATAATTACTATTTGCATAAGAAATAAAATAAGAACTCCTTTAACTGGGTTGCCATAGGGTAAAAACACTGTCAAAGGTCAGGTGTGGAGGCAGCTGCTTCTAAATGTTGAGTTCAGCATTTTATTATTTCCATTATTATTACTGTGTAGGGGTCAAGATTAAACTCCATGACAATAGTATGCCAGAGGGAGCATTCATATCCAATTAAATAGCCCATATTAGCCATTTGCCTATGCAGATTCTTGGCTTGACTTCTTCACAGTATTACTGTGTCAGCCCTTTTAAAAATAATTTTTAAAAAGAAGACTTTGATAACGTGGTGCCCACATGCACCTTAGCCCCAGCAGATTTTGGACCAGGTCTGGAACTGGTAACATTCAGTGCCATCAGGGCCGCCTTTGCCCTCCTCTCTTTCCTTTCCCCCTATCTTTATGCCAAGACTTTTCCACTGATGGAGTCTCCACGATCTCACATGGTGCTGCTGCAAGGTCCCTGGCCAGGGCAGCGTCTCCTTTCCGTGAGGCCAAGAGCTCTATCAGTGATGAGCCCAGCTGTCCTTGGCACACAGACATGCTGATGGAGCATGGAACAGCTGGCAGGAGTTCTGGGAAGTTCCTCAGTCTTTGGTGGACACTCTTAGGAGCTACCTGTGACAGAGCTCCTCAAGTATCTTGGCCAGAAGCAAAGCTTCTGCTCCTGGTGGGAAGAGCAGACAGAGCCAGGACATCCTGCAGTGCCTTTTGGGGCAGTGAAGGACGTGGGCTGCAGGCTGGAAGAGCTGGCTCTGAGGACTGAGGTCAATACCCAAATGGCCTGGTAGAGCAGTAGGAAAGCACACTGCCCACGTTCAGGATACATTCCCCAGCTGTTTTCTTCCTGCTAGTCCCAACTGCCTCTCTCTCCCAGCTCAGATGAGCTGATTGCCAAAGCAACTATTTCGGGTGATAGCTGGGCCTTGTCAATGACAGTGAGTGCTTCTAAGTAAATTATGCACCTGCTCCATAGAAAGATTGAACATACAGGAAGATATGGCTGAGGTTAATGGACTAATCACTTGTCTCTCACCCCTGGGGTCTTTGTGCTCATCCAGATGAGGTTTGAAGGCTGAAAAATTGCAGGGATATATATAACTCAAAGGTGTAATTGAATTGAGTTGTGTGGCAATCATACCCAGGTTCTCACACCTATGGCATATTTTACAGGGAAACCAGTGATAAGTAGAGCCCATGGGTGCTGGGTGTGTAACAAAGGATGACAGGGACAGTCTTTAGTGGCAATTTAGCTTGATCTCTTTGGTCGCAGAGCAGCTGCAGTATCATGGCATTCTCCAGTGCAGCTGGCCCATGACTGCCTGGAGCATTCCCAGGCCCTGCTGCTACATAAAAGCGTACTTTGCTACAAATGGAAACTAGACAAAATTAGAGCTTTTGCGCTTTCCATATTTACAATACAAACTTTAAAAGTTGGGGTTTTTCCTTTGGGGTATACCTCTATGCCTCAGACTGTGTCAATTCTCACTCCCTTGCATGAAGGTTTTCTCTTGATGCACAGCTCCTTCTGATATTGTAAGAAACTAATTTTATAGCAAGTTCCTTCAAGTCTGAAGGTGGCTTGTTTATCTGCCTGGTTGCCCACATGACCAATATAGGCCATGGTTTCATTATCAGCTTATAAGGCAGAAGGCAGGAAAGGTAGTCCAGTACCTAACCTGTACTTGCAGATTTGGCCCTACACCACTGTGCCTGCTGTCCTCATCCCACAGACCTGTCTGCAGAATGGCAGATGGACTCAGTGCTTTCCTAGGGTGAGCAGACACCAGGGCCTGTGTTCATCTTCATTTTCAGCTGCTCCTCAGCCACCTCCTCTCCTCTACCTGGAAACCCTGGAGGCAGAGTGTAGCTGAAGTCCAGCTCCGTCAGCTCATTCCTCAGCTCTTGTCTGCAGCTCCACATCCCCACTTGTCTCTGCTGGCACAGGGACAAGGAGTGACCAAGCCCTCTTGTTGTATCTGGGGGTGCTGGTCAAGGTCCAGGCACTTACATGAAAACCTACGACCTCCAGCTGAACACAAACAAGTCACTTCTAGGGTAAAATCCATTTTTCATAGCCAGACTGAATCGATTAAGGAGAGATGGAGAAGGCAAAAAATGTTAATAGATACTTCATATATAGCAGCAGAACAAGAGAATCCAGATCAGACAAGTCTGCTGTCTTCCCCTTTGCTAATTAAGGAAAATAAAATTTCCATCACTGGAGGTTATCCTCACAAAAGCAACTATCATATCCTCTAGAGAGTCAGCAGGTCTGTTAAATTTGGTTATGTAGTTACATAATACTGAGAGGGAAAAGATTAAAATATTGGCTGTTTTGGGTTTCTCCGGCTAAATATCTAGAGACACATAAAAAATGCTCTTCAGAGAAGAATCATATATATCCTGTGGAAAAAATTGTCATTGAAACGAGGCTTTTTTGTGCCAATCTGACAAAGAAAAATGAGCACCAGACCTTCAGTGCTTTCTCTAAGGCTTGGCATAGAAACAATTTATGCTGGAGTAGCTGGGAACGAACAGTGAGCATTTTCTAAAGACACTGTTATGGTTTCCCCATTGACGTAGAAATGAATAGAGGAGCATAACATAGCACAAAATAGAGTGGAATGGAATGGAATGGAATGGAATAAAATAGAACAGAACAGAACTGTTTCAGTTGGAAGGGACCTACAATGATCTAGTCCAACTCCCGGAGCAATTCAGGGCTGACCAAATGACACTGTGTTATCAGGGGCACTTTCCAAAAGCCTCTTTAACACTGACAAGCTTGGGGTGTCGTCCACCTTTTCACAAAGCCCATCCTGGTGTTTAACCACCATCTCAAGGGACAAGTGAAATTTCTTCAGCCCAAACCCCCCAGAGGTACTGAGCTCCTTGCCAGGCTCTGCATTCAACCAGGTTGAGGAAGCCCAAGGCAGTTGAGGGGCTGTGTGTGACGTGTGCTGGCTGTCCCTTGTGACTTAAATTAGCTAGAGGTGGTAAGGGTAGCCTTCTACATACGTGTTTTCTGAAGAGCTCCACATGAGGGCCTAAAGCTTGAGGGTCTGCATCCTTCACAAACCAAACCACATCATCCACCGTCCAGGTCAAAGGATTCTTGCTTGATGGCCGAGCTGCATCTTGTTGTTCAGGCGAAGGGCTTGAGGCTATCGGTACAAAAAGCCCACAACAGTGCATTACAATGGCATGCAGAGGGTTCCTCAGTTTGGGATAGTGAGTGTGCAGGGCTTTGGCAGCCTCACTGCAGCCCTGGACATTGGTTTTCTGAGTGCAAGGACTGGCCTGAGATGGTGGCACAGGGAAAAAAGGGGACTTGCAGAAGTTTCCAATCAGACTGCTTATTGGAAGACGTGATACCAGCTGGTGAATTGTGTTAAAAAACATGAAACCCTTAGATCCCTGCTGGGGAAGGAAAAATGTGCCAGCTGCCAGGCTCTTAAACCAAGCTGCCCCTGGTGTCTGATCTGCAGCAGCAGGGATCTTGGCTCAAGAAAACACTACCTTCACACCTGGAGAGAAAGTTCTTCAGCACTAAACAAATGAGTTTGCCATTGAATGTGAAGGCTAAAGGATAAAATCAGGATTTAGCAAACAGGGTTTTAAAATTTGCATTCAGATATTCATACTTCTTTTAGAGCTTAGCAGAAGGTTTTCAGTCTGTATCTTCCTAATCTTAGTCTCTCACAAAGCTGATGGTCCCCAGTGAATGCCAATTTGGGAAGTTACTAAAACATGTGAAGATGAACATTGTACATGTGACTTTTTAATGGTATAAGCCCTCGATGATTTAAGGCGACTTCAGCTTGCTGTAGCTTTAAATCAAGTGAATAAAGGCACATTGGAATGAAAGTGCATTTATGTTTTTATTCTTAGTCTCTGCAGAATTATAAATCTCAATCTCCACCTGAATATAATTTGTACCCCCACTTAAGCTTCTTTACAACAAGAACCATGTTGTGCTAGGTTACAGGAAAGCTGTTTCTATTTTCTTACACACACACCAAGCAAACTCTGCCTTAGCAGGCAGCAGCACACAGATGCATTAAATGTTACTTGCTCACATCTCAGCTGCTCATCTCTTTCTGTGAAGGCCCAGTTTTTAATGGGAGAAGTGCAAATGGAAAGCAAGTATCCACTGCAGAATACCAGAAATCAAACAGAAGACTGCGTGTAGAGGGAGATTGCAGACACCTAAACTAGAGCCTGGAAATGTCCCAAGTAGCCAAGAGACAATCCTTACTGCTGAGGAGAGAAGGGATGAGCTCTCCAGAGAAACACTGAGCTTAAAAAGGCAGATGAGATGTGTGAGAATCCCCATGCATGACTCCAAACACAATCCTAATGCGTGTGAGTAAATGTGCACAGTGGGTTTGGAGCTTGTGTAGATTGTCATTCTATTGACTTCAGTAGAGCTCTGGTGATTTATATTAGCTGAGACTCTGCCCATATACACCAAATAATGGGTTTATGTGCATATTTGTCCTTTTTCCCTTGGCACCATGCTCATCTTACAGTATAATGTAACGAGGTGTATTTGCAGTTACTCAGAATGAACTCCAGAAAGCAGCAGTGCTATGAATGTGCAAATCTGGTCGACGGTTTTCATAATGAGATGAGGTGTAAATATCATGATAATTGCACTCTCATTTGCTAAGTCACTGTTCTGGATACAAAGGACAAGGAACAGCCGCAGGTCCTTTTAATTAGACAGCGAGGACCGGTGTTTGTATGGACTCAGGTGACCCTGGGCTCTGCTCACAGAATAAATGCAATACACAGTGGTACAGACACCATCTGGAGCCTTGGCATGAAACAATGAAGACAGAGAGTGCAAAACGAACAGGGTAATCTTGGCCAACCCCTGGATCATCAGTAACATTGAGGAACTCTGTCAGGGACAAGAGACTTGTCAGGGAGAACTGAGACTTATCTTGGACACACAGGGGTATTTCTCCCCTTCATGATCTGTCCATGGTTTGGATGACAGCTGATCTGTGGAGGCATCGGGCACTGCATCACCTCAAACCAAAGGTCAGGAGAAAGACCAAGCTTTTGCAAACTAGTCAGAAAATAGAGGGAGGAGAGAAACGTTTGGCTGTGACCAAAAGACTGCAGAAGTTTTTCTGCTACTCCCACAACATGGTCAGGGGAAATGTGCCACTACTGAGGAGCATATTTTTTCCCTTAAATTTGCATAAATATAAGGAAAGCCCAGAGGACTTTGTCTGGGATTTATACCAGGACCAGAAAGGGCAGGCTGCAGCCCACTGACTCCTGCCTGCAACCTGCCCAGGAAAGGGCAAAGGGGAGCAGAGAGCCTCAAGTGCAGCTGGGAGCCTTCACAGGTATTGGAAGCATCTGTAACAAAAGGAAGGGGGATGAGAAGAAAAGGTTGAAGTGACAGGAGGAATCTATTCACTCCTTTGCAATCTAGCAATCAATAGCATAAATGTGATTTCTGAAAGACAAACATATAAATGACCTTTCTAAAGAGACTGCATGGCTAGAACTCTTCCAGACTCTAGCAGGTGAAGAAAACCCTTTCAAATCCATGCCCAAGGGATAGTATAATATCAGAATATACAAACAAGAATTATGTGTCAATACTAATTCTTCAAACACTTTTTTTTTCTTTATGTACCTACCTAGTATCAAGTTTTTGATTCTCGCTGCTTTTTCATTAATTAAGGGGTGTTAATTTACTTGTGTGAAAGGAGATACATTTAAATGTTATTAATAAAACTGAGATACCCCCAGTTTGCAGCAAAATATCAGGTTTTAGCTGATGAGTCTGGAAACAATCTGTTTTTCTATATATTTTATGATTTATTTTGTTGATCAATTTATTTGGCTTTTTAACACTGTAGTTTACCCATCCGAGTGTAATTTCTCAATTTACAAAAGAAAATAGATCATTTCATGTCTACATAAAGGCATGGGGTTTCTTTCAATAGCATCACTTTGGTGAAAGATTACATGAAGCACAAAAGTGTTTGATGGCAGCAGGGCAAGTGCTATACATTCTTTTCATATCTGAAGGTATTCACACTTAACCTAAGAATAAGATAAATGAGGAAGTCTCATGTCTCCTGGGTATCCTATGCCATCCTGTCATCAGAATTAATCAAGATGATAATGAATACTCAGATTACAAAGAGATGGGAGTGCTTGCGACCAATAATTATTTTTAGAGATCATAATCTAGGTCAAATCCAATTTCCTGTTTTTGACAGGTGGCAAAAATTTGTCAAATTAATGGAATGAGATATGGAAATTTAGGTAATCAGAGGGAAGCACTTTCCCCTCCTGCCTCAAAAGATATTGGGAAGGACAGTGAAGAGGTTCCTCTGCAGGGGAACGTCTCCAGGCATCCTAGTCAAGACCACTGCCCACACAGAAACAGCTGGAATTACCAGGTCAGTGGCAAAAGCTGAGTGAGCTGAGGGAAAGGGGTAGCCTGGCACAGTCTGAGTTTTCACCCCACACTTTCCTCTGCCACTCATCTCTAACCTCTGGACCCTCCTGAGGAGGAGAATGGAGACAGAGCCAACAGCCAAATGGCTGCAGAGGCCAAGGAAATAAAATGCTAAAATGGAGTTAAACCTGCAAAAGAAGGAAAGACAAATAACAGACTCCCTAAATATGTTCTTGGCAAACAAACAGAGCCCAGGGGGAGTACAGTCATTGATAGATAAGAGTGGAAAGGGAGTGACAGATGAACTTTAATATTGCTGCAGGCCTAAATGATTTCTTTGCCTCAGGGGAAGGGGGTGGGAATGAAATTTTAAAAGGTTCTCTCTGATTGCACTGGAGCAGATAATAAGGAGTAGCAGATCTACCGAAACTAAGCAGAAGTAGCAGACCCTCAAAGGTGCAGAGAAATGGGAATTATTTTAAAAAACAAGCCACCCCCCCACTATAAACAAGAAAAGGAAGAAGGCTTTAAGATACTTTTCTAAAAACCGAGGGCACATCAAGCCGGAGAAGAAGAGATGCATCAGAGAAGCAGGTGTCTGGCAGAACACAGCTACAGGATATTTGGGGCGGGGCAGGGTGTTGACAAGCCATGACCAGCAGAGAGCTCTGCAAAGATCAGGCTCAGCACACCTGTTTGCCCTGGCCGGCGCTGGCAGGACGTGTCGGGTACCACCTGCCTGGTGTCCTGCGCCTTGCGACGCGTCAGAGCGGAGTCCCTGTCCCAGCAGGGTGGCAGCCGCTCCCACGGGCAGCGTGGCACACGCTGCAACATCGAGGTGCTGCAGGAGCAGCCCGGCATCCACCTGCACCGGACGTGGCCGCGGACATTAAATATTTATCCGGGCTTTTCTTGCTTTGCCTCTGCTTTGTAGGTGAAACAAAAAGGCAGCTCGCTGGAAGCACCGAAACTTTCAGACTGAAATGTCCTCAAAAATCAGCAGGCAGGCTGTATTTGCTGAATGCAGTGCTGAGGCTCACAATGCCATCAGCAGCTGCTTTGCCTTGGGGCAGTGCTGGATCTGCCCCCCCATGAGCTGCTTGCAGCATTATTCTGGAAAAAGAGAAATTTCTACTCCCATGCCCCCAAATATTTTCAGAAAATGCATGTACTAATAAGCTGGACTACCCCTTTAACAAAGACCCTCAGGTGATAATAATTAACTGCTAATACTGGATAATAAAATCTCCATAAAAATAACAAGCTACAGGGCAAGGCTAAGGTTATTATATTGTGGTTGAACACACAATTCTTCATACTTGGGATAAAGGCTTTGTCTGTTATGTAAGCAGGCTTGGAAAGGTTTATGATGTCCTTGACTATTCCTTCCCTAATTTAAAAGCTTCAATTTGGCAAATGATGACAGGAAAGTGCATGTTTATCTGTTTGCAGCCCCAACTGGCTTTCTGAAATTATTTTTTTTACATCTTTTTTTTCAGAATTTTTTAGCATAATCAAGGGGAATTAGGCATCAAGCTTCCGATCGCATTAATGAGAGCTTTGAGGTTTAATCTCATCCATTCCGCTTGAAAGACATGTTCTGCTATGCGCTGAGATATGTTTTATGATTCTGGCTTTTTCCATGATATTTGCCCACCGTGATAAATAAGGCAAGCTATTTTTCAAAACTATCCATAAATAAACAGGATTGGTTTGAGGTTTTGGGGATAAATTCTTCCTCTTTTTAATGAGCCCGTCTCTGCCTCATAAGTATACAAACTGAAGAGGATAAGAACAGAGACTGACATGCTCCACTTACTCATCTTTGCTTACTTATGATTCAGCAACATATAAATTATGCCTAGAAAGAAGAAAAACATATGCACAGATTGTTAGGGACCTTGGCAGCAAACCCTGTGTGGGTTTGCATGTGCCTCCATGGTAGACCCTAATCTACAATGGGTGATACCAGGACTAATAAATGCCTAAAAATTAGGAAAACTCCAACAATATAAATGAATCAAAAACCATTTTAATGATGGTCATTGCATATATTTCTGTTTTAGAAAGCCTTTACTGTTGAGCTGGCCAAATGACCCAGAGACCTCAGAGGAACTATGCAAGTGTCAAATGATTGTCACATAAAAATTACTAAGCTGTTTTGGGATGGGTTCTGTTAACCCCAGGTAGTATATGTAGCAATTTCAAGTCACTTGTGACTGCTTCAGAGGCACTCATGTCATGGATGCCTCGTTCAAAAGCAATCTCTCTCTCTTTGCTCCTCAAAGTACTTTTAATGGTTTTAAGCCAGAGAAATACAGGAACCTGTAAAGCCTCTTGCATGACCACTCAATGACTTTTTGTTGATTCAGTTCTGGGAAAAAAACATGAGCCCCATTTCAGCCTTTCATTTTGTAAAGAATGCAGATTTTGTGGGAAGTCACAAAAAGGGAGATGGAGATATCTCCAGAATTTTGGCTTCCTGCTTGGCACTATGTGGAGGTTTCACAAAACACTGGCCAAGACTGGGAAATGGTGACATTCAAAGTGTAAAACAAAAAGGGAAAGCAATGCAGCTGAACAAGCTTAAGAAGCTCTGATTTTAAGCTTCAGTCCCTTGAACATAGTTTCTGTCCCCTCATACCCAGGGTTTTCTCCAAACAACACATTCTTACGCACAGAAGTTCGGTGTGTTCTGAAAATTCACAAAGTATTCAGTAAGCCACCAAGTGATCCAGAGGAAAAAGATTCTGTGAAGGGTTATATCGATGCTGGGAGCCCCCAATGCAGGGAATAATGTGCTCTGACTCCACGATTCAGAAAGGCTGAACAAATGCTTTATTAAGCTATCCTATATTACACTAATACTATACTATATTACATACTAAAAAGATACTATATTAAAGAATACTAAAGAAAAGCCCATGAGTGTCTGAGACAGCCAGGACACAGCCTTTACCCAATTGGACAAGGAATCAAAACAACCTTCACAGGTGTCAAATAACTTAATCACTTTCAGTAAACAATCTCCATAACACATTCCACATGTGCAAAACAACAGGAGCAGTGAATAGAGATAAGAATTGTTTTTATTTCTTCTCTAAGGTTCTCACTGCCTTCGCCAGGAAAAATCCTGGAAGAGAGAATTATGTCTCTCTCTGTTCAGAGAATGTGAATACCACAGGGTTACTGAGTATGAATCTACCACCTGTGGCTGAGGAAGTCTTTGAGCCACAAATTTCTGAAGGCAGAGAGGAATGCATCCACCAGCTCTGCACTTATCCCTTTCCTTGGGGCATGCTGCTGTTTCCTGCTGGAGACAAGATGTGTGGCTAGACAGACCTTTGCTCTGAACTGCCCTGGCTCTTCATATGTCCTACAAAGAGACAATGACTGATCCCAAGAAGAATGATCAAGATTTCTAAGTCAAGTAAGTATCAACATTATTAAATCTTGGTTCCTCAGAGCTGCCAACTATAAAGCTTGGTGAAAGGGTCCCAGTTCTGCTAGGAGGCTCTAAGGAAGTAGTGGGAGAGGGGTCAATGAATCCTCTGCACATTGAGCGTCTTGTCCTTCCAGTGCCTGATTATGCCAGCCTGAGAGGCACTGAACAAGATCTGAAAGAAAATTACTCTTAATTTCCTTTTCTTTGTAATTAAGGCCATTAGCTCCTAGTGACAAACTTTTACAAGCTCTTTGCAGTGTATTTCTATACTATCCACTTTGCTTTGGGTAAAGTTGGCTCTGTTAGCAAAGAATGAGGTAATTACGAGACCCAAACACTTATCAGTGGTCTCTATAATAGGCTAAACCAGGGAAGCAAGTGTGCAAAAATAATAGCAAACCAGTGATAATTTTGGGTGGGTGTTGAATATCTAAGAAGGCAAACTTAGATAAACAAATAAATACAGGAATAAATCCTTGTGATACATATTTCGGAAGAATAATGTTCTAAAATATTAAATAGTGAAACTTCAGGAACAAGAAATGACACAGATGTTGAGGAGGTGAGGAATGTGAAAGAATTAAGTAAAGATTAAGCAAAGGATACTAGAAAGAGGCTCTGGAATGGCTTCCAAGCAAGAATATGCAGAATCAATTGCAGTTTCCAAGGGAAATGCAAGGGCAAAAAGACAGTGTAATGAGATAATGGTAGACAAAAGGGCTAGGGGAACCAGTAATCTTCTGCAAATATATCAAGATTTTTAAAAAATAGTACTAGAATGGCAGTAGATTCCATTAATAAATGAGGAAGGGAAAAAAATTAATGACTTTAAAATGGCTGAGATGTTCAACTCCTTTGAATGGCTGAGACATTCAACGCCTTTTCATTCTGTCATCAGAATGAAAAATGCATACATGAAGTTTGAATAATTAGTAAGGGGTGAAGACACTATTAGCATCACTACTGATAAAGACCTGTTGACTGAGAATTTGAAAAATGCAAACAAAGTTAACTGAAGTTCAGTGAAATAGCTAACCTGTATGACGAAATTGGGTAATTTCAAGAGGAAAAAAAATCATAGCCACTAGGAACTGTAGTGGGTAAGTAGAGCAACTGCCCCAGCAAATGGTCACTGAACAAAAATACCAAGAAAGGGAAGTAGAATCATTGAATGCAGTGGTTCCCATGGCATTTCTTAAATTTGCAGATAAACTTCTTGTGACTTTGCTTCCTGAAGAATAAAAGAGCCTTAAGCAATGAGCTGAATGATTTTTAAAAACATATGTTTTATTGAGGAGTCTTTTTCAAGCAAAATCTGGCTTGGTATGTAATTAAAGGGGCAGGATGGGCACAGAGCTAGGAAGCAAAACCTCTGGCTAAATGCTTTGAGGTAGGCACTAATATTTGGGTTTGCTCTGCATCACATCTTGTACACAGCTGGTGTCACACAAATAACAGGTACCTGCCTGCAGGCAGTATAAATTTTTGGGAGGAATGCCTTATATATTAATGTCTTTACATCTGAGCTGATAATAATAGGTGTGATTGCCACACAATTATAGGTAATACATATGTTTACATAACAACAGCATTAAAAAACCTTCACTTTTATACTTAATGGTGAACAGACTGATTTTGTGTTCATAGAGGTTATTATTTCCTCTTCTAAATGGAAGCAGGAATGATCTGGATGGATTCCATCACAGAACCACCTTACTAATTTTCTTGGGAATTTGGGAATGAGTTAAGACTGCAGCACAGCACCAGCATAGCAGCACACATTGCTAAATGGAAGATGTTGCATTACCACTTCTGTTTCCTTCAAGGTAGGCCCCATTCCTTGTTGGGCTGGAGGTCTGATGCCGCAGGCCAGCAGATGGGGACCCCCCTGAAGCCATGTGGGCAGGACGATGGCTACAGGAGGAAGAGGAGCCTCCAGCAGGGTGTCCATCTGCAGGACTCTGACGCACGGTGTACGTGGAGCCCAAGGCAGCGTCGGCAGGATCCACACTGTACTGCTTCCTGCTTGGAGCATCAGCCAGGTAGTCCTCAGGTATAACTGTCTCTGCTCAGGAACACAAAATAAACATCAGTAAAACAGAAACTTTTTCAATTCAACCCTTGAAAAAATTTTTTTTAGCCAAAGTTACCATTTTTTTGTGACAAAGTATAACTCCGTTATCAACTTTCTGTACAGACAGCTGGCCCCAGGAGAGGTCCGTGCTTAGAATGAATAAACAGTGAAGGGAAACACAACCATTCAAAGTCAGTAGAGTCACAAGAGGGAAACCACAGCTTGATATGAGTCATCCATGTCAGCTTACAATATTATTTTCTGTAAAATCCTGGGCCACTTAGCCCAGGTCCAATTGGACTCATGGTGCTCCTCAAATGCACTGAGACCAGAGGATTGTAAGGAAGGAGGCAGAGGAAGACAACGGGGCAGGCAGTTTATTAGGTTCAAAACGCCTGGCAGCCAGTAGGAAGGAGTAAAGGTAATAAACCAAAGCATTCTGGCTGCAATTACCAAAATTAGTCAGAAGCATCCTCAGCTGCAGACATCCATCAGGCCCGGTATCCCACGAGGATACAGGCTTGATGACTGATGAGCACACCCAAGGTTTTTCATGGACAGTGATGTGTTATGTGTGAGTCACTTGGACCTGACTCAGTTTAAAATGTGCCAACATCACAGACAACTGCAAACCATTGCTATGATGGTTCCTGACCTCTCCATTGCAATTTTCACACTATGTAGGAGCTAAATACTTTGCTTTCCAGATTCCTGGCAATAAACCAAATTTTGCACTTCAAGACCTGTTTTGGAGACTTACACTCCCCTATGCTTAGGAGTCTAAAACACAGGCATGAGGCAGGTCTAGCTCCAGGTTTTGCAGCACACAGGTATTTTTTGCCATTTCCCCTCAAGCTCAGATTTGTCACTGACACTTCCATGCCTGTGTCACTGTCTTGCTCCTCCAGTTTCCGCATATCCGTGTCTTTCCTATTTGCTTTTTTTTTTGTCTTCACAAAAGATGGCCACAGGTCTTCCTCCTCCTTTTTCCCACTACCATTCTCCCTACAAAACCAGCTCTCCTGTCACCCAGCCCCAGTATCACTACTGGGATACAAGCAGAGCCTTTGGAAACCTCTATGAGATCCCAGACTTCACAGAACCCTGCTGGAGTTTACATTTACATTTTCACTCTTTTCCTTAAAAAAAGAAAAACAAAAACCAACAAAAAAACAACATTACTTGACAGCTGTGTACCACAGTTGATGTTAAACAAACATGATTTATCTCAACAACTCAAATGCTCACAAGTTGTGCCATACCATCACCTTGGCTTGTGTGTCAGGCCACAGCACAGATTTTTGTTACATTGTTCTATTTTATTGCTTCTTTAAAAATTTTGTCCCATTCTGGGCCAAGGCTGAACTCACCATAAGGCAAACATCAAATTTGAACGGAAGATGCAAATGTGAAATTTCCTTGCTTTTGGGCATTTGCCTTTGCAACTGCAAGTAACTTTCCTTTAGCAAGGCTTTTTTCCCTTAGATGATCTGGATTCTTACAGCATGCATTCAGGTGTCCTGCTGCTTTCTGCCAGGAATTTCTGAGCTTGATTCTCATACAAATACAGATAGGGTGTAATCCAACTGAATTCAAGGGAGTTCAGATAACGTAACACATAAGAGAAATGGGAATCAGACATTCTGAACCTTTCCCCCTCACCTGCAACAGATGCCAAAATTATACAGCGATTGAGCTAAATACCTTGCTTTTCAAACTCCTCCCAATAAACCAAAGAAAATCCAATCAAGCCTCCTCATTCAAAGGAATTTAATTACTGTGTAGAACACTTGCAATAAAAGCCTCTTATGCATAAAGAAGATGGCTCTTTCTGTAGCATCCTGCCTGCACTGCATGGAATAATTATGCCTCTTGTGAATCATTACCTCTTTATTCCAGGAAAAGAATGCTCTTTTAATATGATTACAATATGAAGAAGACATAGACTATCAAAACAACAAACAGCCCATTAAAAGAGCCCTGCTAAATAAACTGCATATAGCTGTTATTGCCATGGATGTAAATTACTCCAAAATTTTTGAGAAGACACCAAGGATTTTTTGATGGATGGCAGACTGTCTCAACAGTCTGTGTGGAATAAGACATGTACAGATATAATCTCCCTGTGGAAGGACACCCATGAATTGTGTACAAGACTACAACCAGGAGCCAATCTCTGTCAGATCTGTTCCTAACTTTTCTTGATCCAGATCAATTTAATCCACATCTCTACTTTGGGTTCCAGAATGGCAGTAATGATGCCTACTGCCATGGAACCAGCTGGATCCTCTGTTCCTCACTGTGTGAAAAACTCCCAATGGAAGGTGCTCTGGGGATTTGAGAAGTCACATTAATGTCTTCATGGGACCAAGGGGAGCAGGGATCGTCTCAAGTGACCCACTGCCCAAAAACCAAAATACCCTGTGGAAGCTTTTGTGTTCCTATTTCCAGCTCTCTGTTAGTTTGCACCACAGAGAAGCTGCATGGCTTGAGGTTCCACTGATGATGTGCATAAAAAAAATCTTCATTTTGTAAGCTCCTCCCAGAAAGCTTTGTAAAGTGCATAGCCATCACAGCTTCTAATCCCACTTTGGCCAATTAGGAAAAAACCACTTTTTTTGAGACAATAGAATAAAATGTAAGTCTCTACTGGGGTTGGAAATGCAACAGTTTATAAATCTGTAGCTTAGCTCCTCTGTATTCTGACTCACTTTCATATTTTATTTTGTAGATAGTCAGTTCCACATATTAGTGAAAAACTAGTACACAATACTTTAAAGCAGGATTTATAAGAAAGCTGCTTCAAGCTTTTGCTCTGAGCACAGCAGTCTCTGTTACAACTGCTCACCACCCTGAGATGCTTAAGCCATTTTGGCAGTTTTCCTTTCCATGAATGGTCCACAGGCATCTGGATTGAAAAGCCCAAGACTGTTACATCCAGCACACCTTAAAAAGCAACAAAGCAGAGAAAAAAGCAACAATTGCATTCCCAATTTAAAAATGTGTATTTCTTTAGCTGAGCTTGTTAAAAAGTAGCAGTCTCTAAGATCCCTAGCCAAAATCCTGAAGATGGGTCAGCTGAGAGTCAAAAGAGCCTGAGAATCTGCAGCTAACATCCCAGCTCTGGTCCAAACCTCTGGAGCGACCTTGGTCAGGTTATCTGTCATCTCTGGACCTCAGTTCTCCATTAGGATGAAGGAAAATACTTGTTTTGTCTCTCACGTCTGAAAAATGTTGAGTTCTTTGCCCCAGCAGTACTCATTTGCCTCTATGGAGTGCCACATAGATGCATACTGCATGTGTGAATGCAGAACACAAACACTGGACCTTTGGTAGCATCTGGGAATAGCCACACTCCAGAAAGACAAAAGAATTTACTCTCATTGTACATTAGGAAAGCAAATGAAAATCAATTTCAAGTCAAGCAGGAAATGAAGAATAGTATATACACAGGAAAGATGATCCCTACCTGACCTTTTCCTGAACAGATCTAATCTCTTTTTCTTCTACATCTTAAAAAAAGCCCAAACTTAGTTTGTTAGAATCTCTCCTAGAGGCAAAATCTCCCTGTACACTCCAGAGACACTCTATTCTGCCTCCTCTGCTCCCAGACCAAACATGTCTTGTGCCGCTTTCCTCACCTGCTGCTGCTCCCACATCACTGCTCGTGTTACATCTTTCTCTCCATTTACCAGTTATTTCCCTATATCTCTTTTCTATTTCTCTTTTCTATTTTCCCTCTTCCCACACATATGATTTTCACAGCCATTTTCTCCCCAGACTGTTCCCCTTCAATGTCACACTTTCATTGATCCTCCCTTTCCTGATACTCCCATGCCTTTTTCTGGGTTCATCCCCAGATTGCTGCTTGGACAGCAGAGCCCAAGGTCAGGGCAGTGAAGTGGGACCAGAGTCCCTTTCCCAGCTAACAGGCCGTATGTTGGAGCCATGAAGTGGCTGCATCTGGGTGAAGGTTTGCATGGGGCACTGCTGGAAATTCACACTCCCTGCTCTGAGCATGCTGGACACTGATCCCCAAGCCAGCAAGGTCCTCTTTGACACACAAGTAGCTTCCCAGGACAACTGCCTTTCCGTCTAGGACAATACTTTAATGTCATTTCATAACCTTTTACTTTACCACCTGCAATGCTCAATCATTTGTATTTGCTTTAATTAAATTCACCCTTAACTTCTTTTCTTCACAGTCAATACAGATTTATTTCTGTCTTTCTTTTCTCTGCCCCCACTATTCCTTTTTTGTGTCATCTCCTATTCCTCATATCATTTAGTGATGGGCTTTGCCCTCTGACCCTTCCCTATACCTTTTAAAGTGCTACCATATATTGTCTATAATGGCTTGACCAGATGTGAACTCCATATTTTAAGCAGCATGATATCATAGCTTCCTCAGACCTCTCCTTTCTCCCAGCCAGGGACAGCCTTTTTTCATCTCCCAGTCATTTTGAGAGGAGCCAGCCACAGTGTCAAAATCCTGTCGAGAGGCTCCTTCTTTGCATGGTTTTATCTTTGCCTGTATTTTATAGTTCCTGAGCCTGGCTCCTGCTCCCTGCACAAGGATGGCATCTGCCCTATCAGGGAGGTGGGAGGGGTGAGGGAGGAGTGGGTGGAGGGGAGAGGTTTAAGCAGCAGCTTAGAAACCCTGCATCTCAGCCTTCATGAAAGCAAAAATAGAAGTGGGGAAGCACAAAAAGCAAATGCTGAAATTGAGGAGGAAATCCTTCAGATGAGTTTAACCATCAGTTCAATCTAGCGTCAGCCAGAGAAGGAGAGAGCAGAAAGGTATAAACAGTATTTAAGATTGTGAAAGATATGCCTTGGCTCTGAACTGCTATCTTCTGTTTTAAACATCAACTCTTAAAAGATTTAAATTTATTTTTTTCTGTTCCTTCCAAACAGCCTCACACATTTCAGTCCAGTCAGGAATGTACCACGGCCCTTATCTTCCCTGTAGTTTGAGCCTGCATGCATCT